TTTTCAATCTGTGTTGTCATACTACCAATAATGCAGACGTGATACTACAGAAATCAAGAATGAGTTAATTTGACGTTTTTCTTGGAACAAAGTTCCTCAAGGGCAAGAGAAGACTATTCACTTGGTTATCCCCTCAATTAAAAGCTCTGTCACACATCTTCCTGGGATTGATCTACCTTGAGGTAGATTTTTACAGGTAGAAATATAGTTGCCCACAAAATAGTTCTTTATAAAATTGGAATCAACAGGAATTGAGGTTATCTAAAACAAAGAGCTGAGTTAATCTGCCCTGGAAAGGCTGTGAACCATGAACAAAGCAATAACCTGTGTGTCTGAGGTGCAACCAAACACAGCTTTGTCCAGCAAAATACATCAGCCACTTAGCTCGTTCCCCTGCTGGTTCTCCTGGTTGGCTGAGAACATTCCCACAACTGAGAAAACAACACCAATTACTCAGAGAATTCCACAGATTAGTATTTTTTACAACAGGTTGTTCACATCCTACTTAGTCCATCTCTTCATCAAACAGGTCTGGACTTCCATAGACCTTCACAGGACATGTGTGTTCCTGGCACTGCAAACAAACCAGTATTCCCTGCTAGTCTTTAGCCCAAGGCCAGAGAAGAGTGACACAGCCTGGGAAGGTGGGAATGGAAAAGCAGCAATTCCTGCAAAAATTTTGGCAGGAAGGGGAGAAATAGCAGCTATGGAGGAGAACTCACTCCTTTAATATGATTTGGCCCAAACACAACAATGACACATCAGTTACTGGGGGGAAAAAACAAACCACTCATTAGTGTCAGAAAAATATTCCTCAGTGTGTCCTTAGACATCCCAACCAGGCACAGTGCACATGTGCTTACACAGAGGAGACTGCATTCCAGGCCAGATGGTAGAACTTTGCTTTCCTCTGAGACTTTAGGGCGAAAGTTTTAGGGATGCCTTGATTGGGAAATGGTTTTAAAAAAACCCCAAAGCACCAAAATATATTCTATTTATCATGCCTTTTATATTACTTGGGTCAAATTTTTTCCCCCATTTATTTTTCCCCCTATGTGTTAACTGGATGTGATTTACTCAAGACCATGGTTTGTTTCTTCTGAGAATGAAGTCCATAGATTCCTATCTTCAAATCCTGTTCACCCCTCAAATACTTTCAGTTTCCTGATCAAATCACACCCACAAACAGTTGGGAAAGGTGAAGATCCCGCTCGGGGAAGCAAGCGGCCGACTCCGTGTGGGTGATACAGCAAGCTCCATCTCTATTGTCCGACAGGCTCTTTTTTACACAGTGCAGAAGCAGGTGTACAATTATCCATCATTTTTAATTGGTTAGGCTCTAAAGATAGCATTCAGGTACTCCCCTTACTCACAGCTGCAGCTGTGAGGCTTATCTCCTGCTTTCCCAGCCTTGGGTGCATTCCTAGCTGTTTTTCTCGAACCTGTTTGTCTCACCCTCAAGGATGAGTTACCCCTGCCATCTGCCATCTGCCCAGCTGAGTTACTCCCTATCTATATATAAGTTACTATCTCCAGAGCCTTGCTTGTACACTGCATTCCCAGGTGCGTTCCCAGGACTGTGTCTGTACATTCCCAGGGGACTGTGGCCTAGCTCTTTTTGGCCTTCCCCAGGATTATATCCCTGCTCTCTTAGCCATTCTCCAACAACAAACCACATCAGTTTAAAATCCTCTTCAAAGACTTTACTATAACACATAGAATCACTGGTTGGGTGACATGAGACAGTACCAGGTACTGTCTTGAATCTGTTCTGAACAGATAAGCCTCAAAAGTGCGTGACAGTCACTCAAGTGTCACTTAGGACTAGGCTAGCAAGAGAATTAAACTAACAAACGTGGTGGAGGGAATTTCTGAGTCTAAAGAACCATTAGGACCTGTTATGTTAAGAGAAATAGTGTCTCCCCTGGTGTCTCAGCAGGCACAAGCAGCTGGTGAGGTATGGACTGGGGTTTGGTTATTATTGAGGTATTTAAAGTCTTCCACTTACCTACACTGGGCATCAACTGCTCGACAGAAACCACATCCAACCTGGCCTGGAACACTCCCAGGGATGGAGCAGCCACAGCTGCTCTGGGCAACCTGTGCCAATGTCTCAGCACCTCACAGGGAAGAATTTGCCCCCAATATCCCACCTAGCCCTGACCTCTGGAGTGGGAAGCCACTTCCCTTGTCCTGGCACTACGTGCTCTTGTAAAAATCCTTTGCCATAAGCCAATGAAACATTTAGGGTCAACATGTTCCTCACATGTGGAAGCTGAAATCAAAGCTGGAGAACAGAATCCTCAGCCCTAAAGCAATGACCAGCACGAAGGGCTGACTCCAGTCACAAGAAACATTTTGGAGGTAGAACCTGTGCCAAGAGGAATTGTCCATCCACTGGCTCCTGGTCAGTGAAAGCTTCTGGTACAGCCAACACACAGGGGAAGCAACAAAGCTAACTGGAAAGTATGAGTAGATCTAAGCACTAGAAATCCACACACTGGAATTGAAGTAGATTTAAAAGAAACCCATTCCTTATATTGAAAACACAAACAAAATCACAACCTAAATTAAACCAATAATCTTAACATCATATCTGAGGCCTGGACAAGCGTCCTATGCATTTTGACATCCCAAACATGAACTCATGTGAAGAGCCATTTGCTCTCCTCATTCCCAAGCAGCAGAGCTGACAAGATCCAAACACAGCATCCAACTGAGGCTCCTCACTGCAAGGACACTGAGGGGCTGGAGGCATCCAGAGAAGGGAATGGAGCTGGGGAAGGGGTTGGAGGACCAGAAGTGGCAGAAGGAGCTTGGGGAGCTCAGCCTGGAGAAAAGGAGGCTCAGGGAGGACTTTATTGCTCTCTCCAACTCCCTGACAGGAGGAGGTGCAGTCAGAGGGGAGATGACGAGAAGGGACAGGATGAAAGGAAATACCTCAAGTTGTACCAGAGGAGGTTTAGATTGGATATTAGGGAAAATTTCTTTATGGAAAGGGTTGTCCGTGCCTGGCACAGCTGCCCAGGGCAGTGCTGGAGTCACCACCCCTGGAGGGATTTAACAGCTCTGTGGATGTTGCACTTGGGGACATGGTTAGTGGTGGCCTTGGGACAGTTGGACTTGATGATCTTAGAGGACTTTTCCAACCTTAACACTTCAGTGACATCTACAACTTCTGAAACATCTGCAACTCCTCACAGATCACATAAACATTTAGGCTTTTTATTTCAGGTAAAGAAATTGATACTTAGGCTGAATTTTGTCCCTTTATGCATTTAATAGTCACAGGAAACCACCAGTCTTGAAGACAAATGCCTCATAAATGCTCCTCCAAACAATGTCCAAACCAGAGCAGCTAGAGCCAACAGAACCTTTGAAATCCACTTGTAAGAGAGTAGCAATGATACAGGAACTATTAAGAACACAAACCACACAAGTCCCAGACTGTTTACCAATTTAATGAGTTACAAAACCTGCACTTTTCAGTCCGAGAAAATTTATTTTTATAAACCAAATAAGAAAAATTCATGTTTGTAATTTCTAATGGAGCTAAAGCTTCTTGTGACAAAGGATATTTACAGCATTCTAATGTAAAACAAAACTTCAGCAGAGGAAAATGCAAGCAGGAAAGAGCTTCAGTTGGCAGCAGCAAGGGACATGATTAGGTTTGCAGTTTGGCACAAGCACCCAATGGCTTAGGAGCCACAATGCTAGGAAAACACATCTAGGATGCACCTGGAAACACCTCAAGGAATGTATTTTGCAAAGCAATCCCAGGATTCTTGAAACCTGAGCTTAAAATCTGAGTTTTACACCTGAGTGCAAATCAATTCACATTAAAACCTGCAAGTTCAATCACTGAATTGATTTCTAACTGCTTCTGGGACTCTATTTTCTTGCTCTTGTGCTGGATCTTGTCCTGGCTCCAGCACTCTGAGATGTTCTTACATCCTCTTCCCCACCTTATTCCTTAGTTGTGGCTCTTCTCCTTCTTTGTAGGGATCTGTTTTCCTCCTTCCCTGTTGGTACACAGAAAAAATTCACTGTCAATTTGCATCGTCACCCAAACATTTTTGACCCAACTCCATCTTCCCTTCCATTGTTTTTAAAGGAAATGTCCCCAGTGACAACATTCCAAAGATTTCATCTATGAATTCAACAAACCACACACAAACCCCATAATTCTGCACATCCAATATCCTTGAAGTTCAGTCCCTGAAGATTTACAGCTATTTCTGAAAGTAGGTTAACATTAATGAGAGTACCAAAACCAATTAGCTACAACTGGAGCTAAAATTCCTTCCACTCATATGGAAAACTTAAACAGATCCAACACCAAAGAAAAATCCTGCAAAAGTGAAGATACTGGAAGTTTTGTGGCAGGAAATTCCTCAAGTTTTAGCTCTAAGAAGTTGTTGTAATTTCTAGTTCAATGCATTTATTTGATGTGTTCTGATTGCATCATGGGAGGTTAGAGGTTACATCATATTGAGTTGGGAATTCCAAGCCTGAGGGAGCTGTGGGGGCTGAGCCTGGAGAAAAGGAGGCTCAGGAGGGAACTTACTGCTCTCTACAACCCCCTGACAGTGGGGATTGGGCTCTGCTCCCAGGGAATAAGTGACAGGACAAGAGGAAACAGCCTCAAGCTGCCCCAGGGGAGGTTCAGGTTGGATATCAGGAAGAATTTCTCCATGGAAAAGGAGGTTAAGCACTGGAATGTGCTGCCCAGGGAGGTGGTGGAGACACCATCCTTGGAGGTGTCCAAGGAACAACAGGACGTGGCACTCAGTGCTCTGGTCTGGCTGACAAGGTGGTGATGGTCACAGGTTGGACTTGGTGACTTTGGAGGTCTTTTCCAACCTTAATGGCTCTATGACTCCATGACCTACATCAGAGCATGGCAGCTCACAGTACCAGGAGAATTTTGCACACATTATTGTTATTTCTATACATAACTTAGGTGTCCTGGGAAAACAGAACAAAAATTTTTGCCTCACCTGATTTCAATTTCTTGGGACCCAAGTCCTCTGCTGGCAGCTGCCCTCTCCTTTTGCGAGAGGTGGAGGTTCTCTGGGGCCTGGGGTTCACCTGCTGTCCCTTTCCACTCTGATCACTGCCCTCAGCACCAGTGGGTGCCAAACACCCACTCTGAGATTCTGAACTGCTTCCATTTGCTGCCAAGTTTTTATGCGGAGAAACAGGAGTAGCTGCACCTGATGTGAATTCTACCTTCCTGCTGTTATTCCTCAGTTGCCTCATCCTTCTCTGGCATGAATTATTTGATGGAGATGTATCTTCACCTTTTGGAATCCCCCTTTGACCTCTGCCTTTGGGCAGGCCAGGTTTCTCCCTGAGAGAAGTGGGGTTAGTTTCTTCAGATGGGGAAGAAGTTGCTTTCTTTCTGCCCACTCTTGATGGCTTTTCTCTTGCAGATAGAGCTCCTTCCTGAGGGTCTTCAGGAGTTTCCTTCCTACCATCTTCTAGCAAACCCTGAAGTGAGGGGGAACTAACAGCCAGTGAAGTGCCTGTTTGCCTTGAGTTCCGTTTGGGTAGATCCCTGTTTTCCTGGGAAGGAGATTTCTCCAAAATCAGCTTTTTTGCCTCCCTAGCATTATTTTTTCTACCACTTCGCTTTCCCTGAAGGGAAGTAGAATCTGTAGCTTCTAACAAGAGGGCAGTTCCTTTCCTTCTGCCTCTTCTCAGCTGGTTTTCTTTTCCAGATGAATCACAAGTTTCCAAGGAAAGATTTTGCTCTTCTTTTGATGCTTCTGGAGCTCCTTCTCCACCATTCCCTGCAGGCAAACCATGTTTCCCTTGAAGAGAAATGGAATAGGCTGTGGGTGACACCACAGCAGCTTCTCTTCTTCTGCCTCTTCCCAATGGCTTCTCCTTTTCACAGGACACTGTTTCCAAGGGCACATTTTGTTGTTCATTCCTACCCTCATCTCCAGTGTCTGATGAGCCGCGTTTTCCCTGGAGAGGAGCTGAACTTTGTGCCTCTGCTGCTACATCAATCTTTCTCTTCTTGACCCTTGCCGATGCATTTGCCTTTGCCTGCACAGCTTGATGTCCCAGAGTTGGACTTTCAACTTCCCTCACAGCCTTTTTCTCATCATCCTCTAGCAGCCTACGCCTGGTTCTGACAGAAGGAGACCTCAGAGTCTGTGGTGCTGCAGAGACCTCTTGTCTCCTCCCTCGCCTCGGTGGGTTGTCTCCTGCCGAGGGATTAGCTTCCTCACCTGAGACTTGCTCCTTCACAACAGCCTCAGCTGTGATCTGGTCTTGTGTTTCCCTCAAGGTAGGACTAGCTATTTGTGGAATGGAATCAACTTGCTTTCTTCTGCCTCTCCTACCTCGTGAAGGAGCAGTTTGTGGATTCTCGTGTTGACTGCCTGTGTCAGCTGTTCCTTCCTCCTCCCCAGGTAAGCTCTTTCCTTCATCCACTTTGGAACTGTTTTCAAGATCAAAACTCACTTTTTTGCCTCTTCCTCTTCTACACACTGTTCCACTTCTCTGTGCTGGATTCTCCTGCAGGAGTGCAGTTGGCTTTGGCTGAACTTCATTCCTTGTCCTCCTGCGAGGGCTGTGGGCAGGACTGTCACTCTTTGCTGAGGTGACACCTGGGCTCTTCCCATCCTTTGTGCCTTGGGATGTGTCCTTGCCACAAACAGAGCCCAAAGGATCTTTGAGAGAAGGTTCATCCATTTCTGTTTCTGACTTAGATTTGGGTGTAATTAGCTTTATCTTGTTCACATCTTCAGTGAATTCATCAGCCTTGTTCTCCAAAGAGTCTTTTTTGCCTCTCCTGCTTCTGGTCCTGGTTGTTTCCTGTACTGCACCTCTGGTTGCTTCCAAGTTCAGAGCAGCTTGGTTTGCCTCTGCAGAAGGAGCTCTCTCTCTTCTAACTTCCTTAGCATTCTCTGTTCCATATCCCTGAGATGCTTTAATGCCATTTTTGCTGTGTGACTGTGTTTCAGTTGAGGTTTCCTCAGTTTCCTGAGTGCTTTGTGTATTTTCAAGTGCAACCTCACAAATATCTGCTACTTTCACTTCAGCTGAGAGCTTCCTATTTCCAGTGCTCCTTAAAGACCTGACACTCTTCTCTGTTACCTTTATTTCAGGTTTAGTTTCACTTTCAGATTCTTCTGCTGTGACAGTCTCAGGACCCTTATCAAAAGTCTGTTCATCGCTTTGGATAATCTTTGCTGATGGATCTCTACGAAGTTTTCTTCTTGTTCCATCAAGGTCTGCTGAAGGAACTTGTTTCGCTTGGTCATTTCTGGCTCTTCTTCCTCTTTTAGCTGGAATAAGTGGTTCTGTGTTCTCTGCCCCTCTAGTTCTCCTCCAAGGTGACAGCAGCACTTCTTCACACTCTTCTCTACCACTTCCATCAGGTTTGCTCTCAGGTTTTTTACCAGTTTGTAGCTGACAGTTTTGATTTGGAAGGTTATCAGAGACTCTCCTTGTGCTTGGACCAGCTTCAGTTTCTATTATGTCATTGAGGCCACACTGCTCCTGCACAGCCTGATTCATACTTGTGGACTCTTCTTGTAGCCCTGAATCTTCAACACAAGACTCAAGATTCTCACTTGGATGTTTTAACTCCTTCAGTTGCTTCCTTCCACCTCTTGCTGGTCTTTGAGTGGCTCCATGTGGTTCCACAACTGACCCAATTTCAAGTCTTTCCTGCTCAGGTTGCTTTGAAATGATTTCTTCTTGTACACAACGCCTGGTTCTCCTTCCTCTTCCTTTGCTTTCAGATGTGATGGTTCTCATCTCCTCTTGGGTGCTGGCTGCATCCAGACTTTGCGATTCCTTTAAATTCCCTCTCTGTGCACACTGTTTGGCTGAAGCAGGAGGTACAGTCTTCCTTGGTCTGCCCCTCCTTGATGTCTGGGTTGGCTGGTCTTCACCAGTTGATTCCTTCTGTTGAGAATCTTCACCTTGGGCAGTTTGTCCTTGATTTTCTAGAACAGGGTTGGGTTCAGAAAAGACAAAGAGAAGTTAGACATTACAATGCCTGATCAAAGTATCTGTGAGTTTCATTTTCCTCACAGGCTCATCTTGCTCAAACAACTCACACTTAAAGTCTTAGTTTAAAAACAGAGAAATTCTTTAACCAATTCCTAAATCAAAGACACCAGTACAAGCTGGGGGTGAGCTGCTGGGAAGCAGCTCTGTGAGAGGGATCTTGGGGTCCTGTTGGACAAGCAGCTGTCCTTGAGCCAACAGAATGCCCAAGGGGCCAAGAAGGCCAGTGGTATCCTGGGGTGCATTAGGAGAGCAAGTCAGGGAGGTGATCCTGCTCTCTGCACATCTCTAGTGAGGTGTTTCTGGAGTGCAGTGTCCAGTTCTGGGCTCCTCAGTATGAGACAAACATAGAGCTCCTGGAGCAGCTCCAGTGGAAGGCTACAAAGATGCTGAAGGGCCTGGAGCAGCTCAGTGATGAGGAAAGGCTGAGGGAGTTGGGGCTGTTCCTAGGGACATCATTAATGTCTGCAGTACCTGCAGGAGGTGTCAGGGACTGGATCAGGCTCTGCTCCACGGGGCCCAGCGAAAGGACAAGAGGCAATGGGCAGAAATTAATGCTCAGGAAGTTCCACCTGAATATAAGGAAGAACTTTCTGTGTAGTCACTGAGCACTGAACAGAATGCCCAGAGAGGTAATGGATTCTCCCTCACTGGAGATATTCCAGAACCCTCTGGTCACAACCCTGAACCCTATGCTCTGGGCTGGCCCTGCCTGAGCAGGGAGGTGGGACCAGTGACCCACTGTGGTTCCTTCCAGGTCTGTTATCCTGTGAGATGACATTCCCACACCAAACTACCACACAGTTACATCTACACCAATAGAATTCCATCACCTGATGTCCACAAGTGATGACTGCACAAATTCCATGAGCTACACATGCACCAACCTGTGTATTCCACAATGTTCAAAACTCAGCTTCAAACTTCAAAATGTAGATTATTTCATTACTCCCCTAACCAAAGTGTCTGTACTTACCATGAGTGGAATTTGAACAAGGAGTAGGAGCATCTTGCTGGGAATCCATAACACTTACTGCTCTGACCTAAGAGAATCAACAATAACTGATAAATTCAGGTCTGACAGGAGAAGAAATTCTGGAGCCAACCAATGGTTAGTAAAATTGGGAAAATTCTTAGCAAATCCTTCTCTCTATAACTGAAATCAACTTAGATTTAGAACTACATCCACATGTCTGATAGTAACAAACTTCAGACTTGTCATCTAAACCAGTGCAGCAGATTTTAAGGTGGAAGACAACACTGCAGAGTTAGAAGCAGTGTTAATTCAATTAGTTAACAAGTGTCTAAATGAGTGCTCAGAATAAATTTGGGGTATTGAAGTGGAATTGAGTGTCCTGTAGTGTTTGATTGGAGTTCTACACTGCTGAGCACTAAGCCCAGTGATGATTTGACCTAAGGAACATGAGGATATGGTTTAGGGGTTCCAGCAGAGTGGCAGATCAGTGGTGGGACTTGATGATCTTAGGGGTCTCCTCCAACCTTGATGATTCTATGAAAACCAACACAAATGACAAATGACACAAGTGCTGAAGGTGTGAGTTGTAAAGTCACAATGGTGATCCAGAGTCCTCTCAGGGACTGTTTAACAGTTCCCTTCACAGAAAAGTCATTAACACAGGCAAACACAGTCACAGCTCTGCTTAGAACAAGCTGTAACAATACAAGGTGTCCCACTAGGAGGCCTAAGAACTCAAAGCATAGCTCCATCCCCACCAAAAGCTAAAGTATTTTACCTTCACCTCCTCTGGTGTTCCAAACAGTTCTGTCACTCCACCATAGTCCACCTCAACAGCAGATTTCTGCCTGGGCTCTGCCATGAGCCTTTGCAGCCCCACAAAGTCCTCAACTGGTTGATACTTCTGTCTTGGAGTCTTCATCAATCTGCTAATGCCAAACATGTTTTCTACTGGTTCAACTTTGTCCTCTGGTGTCTTGAAGATGCGACTGATCCCAACCATGTCTTCTACTGGTTGATACTTCACCTTTGGGGTTCTCTTGGTGGAAGTGACACATGCCACAGCTTTTCCTGCTGCCTTTTGCTGTACTGGAGTCCTCAGTAACCTTTTAAAGGCAACTTCATCTGTAACTGGCTCCTGCTCCTGCTCTGGTGTCCTCATGAGCTCCTTGATGCCAGACAGGTCCTCAAGTGGTTCTGGCTTCTGCCGTGGGGTCCTCATGAGCCTCTTGACGCCTGACAGGGCCTCTACAGGTTCTGTCTTCTGTTTTGGGGTCTTCATGAGCTGTTTGATGCCTGACAAAGCCTCTACTGGCTCTGACTTTTGCTCTGGGGTCCTTAAAAGCCGTTTCATACCTGACATGGCCTCAACTGGCTCCGAGTTCTGCTTTGGAGTCCTCCTTTTCCTTCCTGTTTTCACCAGAGATGCCTGTTTTGCTGGAACTACTGACAATCTAGACACACTAATATTATCTTTCTGCACAGCTTTTCTTCTTGCAGGAGTTTTTGTGGCTATTTCATCAAACACAGAGCTTGGAGACAACGCCTGTCTCAGTAAGTAATGAATGCCTGGACTCTCTTGTTTCTGCTCTGAAGCATCTGAGTTATTTAATGGTGACACCAGCATCTCTCCTGAAATAAGTAGTGGATTTAGGTCATTTGGAGGAAGAACGAAGCAGAAAACCTAAGCATTCTAATTGCTGTATAACTAAAATGGGTTCAAAGAGTCAGAGCCAAAAAGAGATTCAAATAGTCAGGAATCAAACTCCAACCATGTGCTTTGAGCACAAGGGGCTTGTGGTCTTGAGCCAGCAGAGATTTGGCTGAAACAATCCACCAGTTTGAACATTCATAGCAAATAGAATGAATAAGACAATAACCTACTCAGAAATTACTGGAACTACAAAACCGTCTTTGAATACCTGATAATAATCAATGGTTCCTTTCATGGGTTGGTAGATGCTTCATCTCCAGACATTCAGTCTAGGCTGAGACTGCTACTACCCCGTAATATCCCTAACCATTCCTGTTTTCAAGTAACAAACCCACCAGACTCCTCAGGAGTGTTCAGTTCAGAAGTGTCTCCTGCAGCACAGGTTGGTGTCCATTCAGCATTCCCAGCAGCAGCCAAAGGTAAGGTCTTTTCACTCGTATTTTCTGGGGTTTGAAACATTTCAGACACTCCTAGAAATTACATTTGGAGAAATGAGCACATGTTTGGCTACAAGAACTCACAGCTGGCAGAGGAGCACCAGACTTTAAGCTCTTACCTGTGAAGCTTTCATCCATGTTCATGTTCAGCTTCAGGGTTGGATTTCTTACCACCTTAGGGACACGTCCAGCTGATCTGACTGTGGTGGAATAAGATCTGCCTACAACTATTGTAGCAGGTGACCCTGCATGACCTGTGCTGAAGTGCCCTTTGATTTTCCTTTCTTCCTCCTGCAGAGGCAAAAAGAAAAAGAAAAAGGTTAGTAGACAAATATTCTTCCTGGTGGAACAGCTCTCCGAGCTGCTCTCCATTATTTGTCATCAGTCCTGGATCACTGGGAAGGTTGGATCAGTCCTGGAAGTGTTCCAGGCCAGGTTGGATGGGGCTTGGAGTAACCTGGGCTGGTGGGAGGTGTGCCCCTGACCATGGCAGGGGGGGCAACTGGATAGTCTTTAAGGTCCCTTCCAACCCAAACCATTCTGTGAAGGTCCCAGACAACTGGAGGTGCAAATGTTAAGACCATCTGCAAGAAGGGCTGGAAGGAGGACAGAGGGACCTCTAGGCCTGTCAGTCTGACTTCAGTGCCCGGGATGCATGGAGCAGATCATCTTGAATGCAAACACATGGCATATACAAGACAACCAATCAGGCCTAGCCAGCATGGGTTTAGGAAAGGCAGGTCCTGCCTGACCAACGTGATCTCCTCCTCTGACCAGGTGACCTGCCTGGTGGAAAAGGGTCAACAGTAGCTGAACATGGGCTGCTCAGGTGGGTGAGGAAAGGCAGGTCCTGCCTGACCAACGTGATCTCCTCCTCTGACCAGGTGACCTGCCTGGTGGAAAAGGGTCAACAGTAGCTGAACATGGGCTGCTCAGGTGGGTGAGAAGTCCAGTGGCCCCTGGTTTGTCTTTAGTGTGGTGTGGCAGCAGGACCAGGGCAGTGATCATCTCTGTGTGCTGGACCATGCCTCAAATCCTGGGGTCAGTTTTAGGTCCCTCGTGACAAGACACTGAGGGGCTGAGTGTGTCCAGGGAAGGGAACCACGCTGGGGAAGGGGCTGGAGCACCACAAGAGGTTGAGGAACCTGGAGGGGCTCAGCTTGGAGAAAAGAAGGCTCAAGGGGGACCTTCTCACTCAAAGGTTGGATCGGATGATCTTGGAGGCCTTTTCCAGCCTTAATGATTCTCTGATTTATTTGAGACAAAATCCACATGCCTTATATGCTGTGACAGACAGCAACACCCATTCAACGTCACACTCAGAAGCTTCAGCTTCTGGAGCAAAACACATACAAGCTGCTTGGTGGTTATGCAAGAAAACAAGGGAAAGAAACAGGAAAAGGAACGGGAATACCTTTGGTATTTGGTTTGTCTTCTTTAGGGCTCTTCCTTTTCGGACAGTTCTTTTAGCAGTCCTGGACTGGGGTCTTGCAACACCTAATTTTACCACTTCTGCCCAAGATTTTGCAACTAGAAAGCAAATGAAAAATAACCACTTTAATTCTCAGCTGAATAAATGGAAGTTCATAATCATTTATGATTTCAGTGCAGTCAGGGACAGGAAAGTGGTGGGAACATCTGACAAGACCAGCACTAAAGTGCTCTACCCTCTGAAACACCTTCAGCTGGAACCCCCAATTTCAGCTGAAGTTTAACAGGAGTCCAAGTACCCACTTGGTTTCCCAGAACAGAACAAGCTTCACACAATATCCAATAACGTTAGATCCCAGAACTCAACACTGACCCAATTCCAACCTCACTCTTCTTGTAAGGATATCATTTTTCCCAATAGAAACTTGCCATGAGCCTTTCAGTCTCATTCATTATCCATGAGTTTTCCTCTGGTGAGATTTAACATCAGAGAAATGGCTTAGATCCAGCTTTTCTACCACCTTCCTCAGGAATTTCATAGCCTGGAAAACTATTTCCTGCAGTTTAGATCTACACAGGCTTTCCCTCAGTTTATTTTTATTACCTTCTCCTTGTAAACACTCCAGAAATTCCCAAAGCAAAGTCACCATTATCACAACAGCAGAGGGGTCAGGGAATTATTTAGAGCTGTGTAATAAACGAAGCTGGAATTTGGCAGAAATAAACTATGAGAAGGAACATGTAAAAGAAACTTACATTTTAAGTAAAGATAAAAAGCAGAATGTTGTTCCTAATTAAAGGATATTATTATTCTCTAGTCAGAGTTCTATGTAACTCTACATATCAAAGGAACTTTTGAAGCTGTCATTGCTTGAGTGTTCAGGATGCAGAGAAAAATGCCAATAACCCAGGAAATTATCTAGAAAAGCACTGGAAACAGAGGTTTATTTTGGATACAAAGTAAACATCCAAAATTTGCAGGAACTGTGATATTCTTTTCATACTACAGAAGAAACTGATGCTAAAAAACACTTCCACATGGCAGAGCTGGTGGGAAATGAAAAGTCTGACCTGCTGTTAAAATGAGTGGAACAATAGTGAGGGAATGACAATTCCTGAGTGGGTGGTGGTGTTGGAGGGAAGCTTTAAGTTTGACTTTGTCAAGTTGATTGAACTGATGAAAACAGGAGACAAATCATCATATTTCTGAGTTGCTTCAGGGATAAAAATTGCAAGAAGAGTTTCCCTATCCTAGTGTTTCCAATGCTGTCAAAAATGTTCCAACCCAGTGCTCAATGTTCAAATCAACTTCAAAACACTCAACTAAGACCCAGTTATCACCACTGTATTACAGGTATCTGTTCTGTATCACTGTCGGTAGTTAAGTGAGTTAATGGTGAATGTCCAGTCCCTGGGCAAAGGTTGAGCCATGTACAAAAAGGCACAAAGTGACCAAACTGAAGGCAAATTGTGTAAATTTTCCAAACAAAACTGATGTAATTCAACACTAGTTGAACTTGACAGACTTGAAGGATTAACACTATAACTAACCTTGCAAAGAGAATGTTCATTTTACCAATTTCGCCTTCTGAACACTCAGATTTCTGTTCTAAATGTGGATTTAGAGATGCTTTAGTAAATTTGCTTTATGAGCACAAGAAAACGCAACACTTTCCACTTCCCAGTTGCTTCCAACAAGCCCAACAGCTGCCAGAAGACATTCCAACACTTTGGTGGCCTCTGGATACCAAACCAGACCTTTGGCAGTTTTCTTCCTGTATTTTAAAGCATTAAAATGAATATCCCAAAAGAACTGCTGAAACCAACCTAGTAAATTGGCACTGGAGGCACCACTTTTTCTCCTGGCACTGATCACTGCCACAGCTCCACTTCTTCTCTTTAGGGGAGTGCCCCTCACTGGAGTGCTCTTCAAGCGAACTTGGGCACCTCTTGTTGATCTGGCAGGTGTAGCTCTTCCAAAGGTTTTCTCATCTTGGTTAGCAGAAGAAGACTGAGGTGTTTTCTCTTTTGGATTCATGTCTGCTGTGCCAGGATCCTTCTCCTCTGCCATGGGCAGTGCTGTTGGAGGGTAAGAAATGGAGAATCTCCCTTTTCTGTATGGTGCTGGAGAGCCTAAAGCAAAAGGTGTTGCCTTCCCTGAGGCAGGGGATGAGGCACTTGGGGACTTCTGGGCCGGTGAACTTTTTGGTGACCTTTTCTTTTCCTGGTAAAAAAGAACAACACATAGAATTAGTACATGATGGATTTTTTCCTTCCTTCCTTTTGGAGGAACATCTCCAAAGCAGTGGACATAGAACTCTAATCACTGCTCATCACCAT